CCCGGGACCCCCCGCAGCCCCTCCTGGAGGAACAGGGACCCTCGGCCTCGTCTTCATCGGAAAAGGGAACGGGAAGGTTCCCTGGGAATCCAGGAATCACTATCCCCAGAGCGGTGACTTGGGGATCACACCAAGCCAGGACTCTGTCCTCCCCATCCTGCGCTCTCTCCTCTGCCCTTTAACCCCAAGACGATCTTTAACCCCTCACGTGGCCACCTGACACTTCCACATCTGGTCTGTCCTCTTTGCCTCAACATCCTCCGAGAGATGTGCAGGGCACAGCTGACCATACCCATTACGCAGATGGAGCGACTGAGGCCCGGAGAACCGTGCGGGCCACCGGGGGCCTCCCAGACGCACGAGGGAGGAGGGAATGTGTGCCCTGCTGAGGATACATTTGGGGGCTGGCATCTACCCCCCAGCCCTGCCCCATCGGGGAGCCTACCGTGGTCTGTGCTCGCAGGGGACCCTCCGGCGTCTTGCGGGGTGAGTGCTGGATCTCTCGTGGGACACTGTCGGCTTCGGGGCCAGGGCCCCCTCTGCTTCCCTCTCCTGCTGAATCTTCTCTGGAGCCGGCTCCTCACCCCACCCCCCACTTGACTTCCCGTCGAGGGCCGGGTGTCTCGGAGGCTCCCCCCACTTCGACCCCACCCCCCCGATGAAGGGCTGGGGGCAACAGGGGCAGAGAACCCCAGGTTCCCGGCCAGACGGGCCCTGGCACAGGTGGGGCAGGGGCTTCAGGGTGGCCGAGGGGAAAAGTGGGGCCCCGAGGGGGGAGGGGGGTGTGTCCCCGTGTCTCAAGCCCCTGGCCGTGCTGCGTGGCAGGGCTGCTGGGACCTGAGTCACAGCTGATGGGGCGGTGCCCGGCCCTTCTGAGTGGCCCAGGCATAAGGCGATGACTGGGCAGCCCTCCGCATGACCTGCCAGGGTCGGCCTTAGCCGTTTTGACTCAGACCTGCCGCGGGCCGTGTGCACCGGGGCCACGCTCCCCGTCCCCATCCCGGTCCCCAGGAGCCACCGGCCGCACTACCCCCTGGACACAGCGCCTGGCCCGCCGCCACTCCCTGTCTGGGCACCCACCTCGGAACCTGGAGCCACCTGCCCGCGGGCTGCCCGCCTCCACACACTCCCGGGCCCCACCTGCCACCCTCCCTCCGGGACCTTCGCCCCTCCCCTCCCCGCCCAGCCCTCGGGCCGCCCCAGGAAGTGAGGCCGGCCCTGCCCCGGCCTCCCCGCTGGATGGACTGTGACCTTCCCTGGGGGGGGGGGGGAGCTGTGGGCACCCAGGCCCGGGCCTGGGGGGGGAGAGACGGGGACAAAGCCGCGAGGAGGGAAACCAAGGAAACGGGAAAACGGGAGAGAGAAGAAAGGGATCGTGCTGGTGCACCTGCTCAGTGAAGCTGGTGGCTGGCGGGTATAGCGCTGCGTGTGTGTGCGCGTGTGTACGTGTGTGTGTGTGCGTGTGTGTGCGCGTGTGTGTGTGCGTGTGTGTGCGTGTGTGTGCGTGCATGCGCGTGTGTACGTGTGTGTGTGTGTGTGTGTGCGCGTGTGCGTGCGTGTGTGTTGTCTCCCAGAAAATCTGCCCCAGAGGCAGGCGGGCCAGGCTGGCCCACTGTGCAGAGGGGAAAGTCGAGGCCCAGCCTGGGAGTTACACAGCTTCAGGGCAGGCGGCTGGGGTTTCCATTCATTTTAACGCTCATCCCACAAGAAAAGGGGGAAATCACATTGGAACTGGTGGGCAGCCCGGCTGGTGTGGCTCAGTGGTTGAGCGTCAACCTAGGAACCAGGAGGTCACGGTTCGATTCCAGGTCAGGGCACAGGCCCGGGTTGTGGGCTCGACCCCCAGTGTGGGGCGTGCAGGAGGCAGCCGGCCCATGATTCTCTCTCATCATGGATGTTTCTATCTCTCTCTCCCTCTCCCTTCCGCTCTGGAATCAATAAGAATACGTTTTTTAAAAAAGAAAAAGAAGGAGGAGACATAAGCTGACCCTCTGGGAGGCGGTGGGAGGGGCGGGGAGGCCGGGGGTGTGGGGGCCGCTGAGTGTGCTGAGCTGAGCTGGCAGCGGTGGCTGGACCTGAGCGGGGGGCTGGCTGCTGTGAGGAGGAATCGGGAATTGATGCCACAGACCGTCAGACGGGGGAGTCAGCAAAGGTCTGTGAGCAGAAGACATGATGGTGAGACACTAGCCCAGCCGTGGGCAAACTACGGCCCGCGGGCCGGATCCGGCCCGTTTGAAATGAATAAAACTAAAAAAAAAAGACCGTACCCTTTTATGTAATGATGTTTACTTTGAATTTATATTAGTTCACACAAACACTCCATCCATGCTTTTGTTCCGGCCTCCGGTCCAGTTTAAGAACCCATTGTGGCCCTTGAGTCAAAAAGTTTGCCCACCCCTGGTCTAGACCGTGTGCAGGGAGCCAGGGCCTGGCTGGCGGTAGGGGCAGGAGAAGGCATGTGCCCGAGATGGGGTGCAGGTCTCTGTGATCAATGCGGGGAGGGGAGAGGCTGAGGGAAGAGAAGGGGGTGGGCTGGGGTTCTGGGGCTTCAGTTGGGGCAATAAGAAGCAGAAAGGTGAGAGGTCGGGGTGCGTTTGGCCTTGAGGCGCCCATGGGTGCTCCTGGCCGCGGGCTGTGGGTGTGGGCTTGGAAAGAATGAGATGGGGATGACGGCTTGGGCACTTGAGGCTGTGGTCTCCTCAGGAGACAGTGGGGAGGTGACAAATCCTCACGGGGGCGGGGCGGGCCTGGGACCCCTGCCCCCCGAGCCTGGAGACCCTGGATCTGCGTCCTGGGGAGTAGGTGCCAGCCTCGGTCCTGCTCCTGGGGCTGATCCACAGAGCGGGGGGCTGGCCAGGGGCCCAGGCAGAGGGCGGGTGCAGCACCCCAGGCTCGCCAGCTCTTCCTCCGCAGACCAACCTCTGCCCTCTCCGTGGGCAACCGCACGGCCGCGGCAGCGCCAGTCCCCTTCCGCTCCGAGCACCTGAGCGAGCCTGGTGTTTGGTGTCTGCCGCCTGCCACCCACAGCTTCCCAGCAGCCACCCGAGGCATCCCCCACCCCCACCCCACACTGGGGCGGGCAGAAAGGAGGCCTGCTGCCGCTGCCAGCGCCTGGCACCTGTCCGGGCCCCGCTGCCTGCCTGGCACACTCCTCGGGGCTGTGACTCCCTCCAGGCCTCCTCTGCCCTCTGCTCCTCGCTGAGCGCCTACTGCGCGCAGGCACGGGGCTGGGTGCTGGGACAGAGCAGGGAGGCGGAGGTGGCCTCCATCCTTGGCAGTTCCAGGTAGTGAGGGAAGTGGATGGTGCGGGCCCTGATGGGGCGGGTTTTTAATGCATTCTTTATTGTCGATAGTATTACAGATATCTCCCGTTTTCCCCCCTTGCCCCCCTCCTCCCAGCCCCTACCGACTCCCCAGGTCTTCCTACCTATCGCCCGTCTCCTTGAGCTTTGCATGTCAGTATGTGTGTTCCTTGGTTTGTCTCTTCTCATCTGATGGGTGGGGCAGTTTTGAGAGAACAAATAACCAACTTGCTGAACCCAGCCCATGGGTGCTGGGGAAGACTTGTTAAAGGTACACTCCCCAATAGAACAGGGAACAGCATGCCAGGCAGAGGGAACAGCATAGGCGAAGGCGTTGTAGGAGGAGAGAGCCTGGGCGTTTCGGCAGCCCAGAGGCGCCCAGTGTGGCAGGAACCTGAGTGAAGGGAGGGGGGCCCAGTGGCGGGCAGCGGGGGGCCCTGACTAGCTGCTTGGTAAATAGCCTGGAATACTTCGGGCCGCGGCTCGGGAAGACGGCTGGTTGGAGCCAGGGGCTGAGAGGCCGCGTCTGACCCCTGCACTGTGACCTTGAACAAGACGCTTCTGCTCCCCAGGCCGTTTGGGTAACCCTGACCCTAGAGTGCTCAGGGCCTTTGCCCTCACGATGCCGCTTGGAGGCACCTGTGTCCTTCAGGCTGAGGAGTGGATGGCACCTCTTCCAGATGCCACCCCGACCGCCCACACCACCCGACCCTCTCACTCTCTGCTACTGCACCTGCTTCTGGCTGCCGGGCTGACACTGCAATCTCAGACGCTCCTGGGAGCACTTTCGCTTGTCTGTTGTCTGTCTGCCCCTCACCTGGGAGTTCCGTGCCCGCAGGGGCTCAGGGAGCTGTCAGCAGAGTGACAGAGGCTGGAGGGTAACAGGAAGAGGCTCCCGCCCTGGCATCGAAGGGACCCGAATTCAGAATGTGCTCCCCCGCAGTAAAGTGCTCTGAGGACGTGGCCAGGTGACTCGAACTCTCTGAGCCTCAGTCTTCTCACCTGCCAAGTGGGTCCTATCTATTGGAGAGAGTCCCGCGTGGGACTGTTCCCACCTTCAGCCCCAACCCCAGGAAGTGGGAGTCGCCAGGGCCTGATCCAGGTCAAGTTCACCGGCTTCCGCTAGCCTTTCCTTGGTAGCTTCTGCCTTAGCACATCATCCATCCGCCTACAGGTGCCTCTTCTGAGGTGGGGCCGTGAGCACCGAGAGGCAGCCCCGTTTTCTGGGGGACAGACGGGATCCCCACACCCCTAGGGCCCTTCAGGGAGCAGTTCCAAGCACACACCAGGCCACGGGCCACGTCTGAGGCAGGATCCGTCATTATCTCGTTCGTTTCATCAGCACCCAGCCCCCAGCCACACACCCACATGGGCCAGAGCGAGCCAGACACCCCATGCAGCCTGCATCCCTGCCCACGTGCCCCCAAACCCTGACAGCCCCAGCCCCAGCGTCTCAAGGGAGGCCCGTCAGACACAACAAACGCTCCGTCTGCGTGGGAGGCGCCCCCACAGTCAGACTGGCGCGGGAGACTTCCCTTCCTGGACAGGCAGGGAGCCCAGTCCGGTCCTCCGTGGTGGGCGCTGGTGACCGTGCCAGCTAGGGGCACCCCGTCTCCAAGGGGCCAGCCTCCCCCACACCTTCCCCCAAGGCAACACACAGAGACTCAGGGGCTTAGAAACCAGACATGTTTTAAATATACATTGGCACAATATTAACATTAAATACACATCATAAATAAGCCTCATAAATAAAAATGTTTAAAAAAAAACAGATACAAACTGATAAAAAAAAAAAAAAAAAAACAACGATAAATTAATCACATTCCTTCAAGGAACTGGCCCAGAACCCGCAGGACAATCGGTTTCGGCCTGAGAGAAATTCCACGACCCACCACCAGGGGGAGCAGCCGGCAGCCAGAACCCGAGGCCGGGCGCTGCCGGGCGCTGGCTGGGAGGTTCCCTGCACAGAACTCAGTCTGCACCCCGGTCCGTCTGCACCCGGACCCCAGTTTATGGAAAGAACTTGAAACCCATCCTGTGTCAGTGAGTCCCAGCAGCTGACAGGCACAGCTTTCCCCGGCCCCCACCCCCTTCCATTCACAAAGACAAAACCCGAGGGCCGGGGAGGTCACGTGGCCGAGGGGCCACGCTGGGCCCTGAGCCCCTTTCCTGGGACCGGCCCATCAGGGCTTCCTGCAGGACACTCGCCCCGGTCACAGCTGCCTGCAGTGAGGTCACCAGACGTCCAGGTGTCTGGCAATGAGGCATCCGAGGCCAGCTCAGGCCCTGACCACCACCCCCCTCCCCCTTGGAACCAGCCGCCACTAAAAGGAGGAAGTCTGGGGGCCACGGCTCTGCAAGTCATGAGAGGGAAGGGCCAGCAGACCTCCGGGCAGCGGAGTGGGGGGTGGCGGTCAGTCTGGCCATGAGTCAGCCTGTGTCATCAGACCCCTGAATCAATGGAAAGTTGGCCCCGCGTGGCCTGACCCAGCCACCCCACTGGGACTGGGGAAGTCGGGGCTGGGGGGGCACAATGGTGAGGTCCTGTCCCCCAGTCCGGGAGGAGGTAGAGGAGCCGACCAGGCTCTCACCCCTTAAAGTGCACTTGGGAGAGATGGGAAGCAGGTGTGGAGACCCGGGCACCATCCTGAGAGCACCTGCTGGTCCTCCCCCTGCTGGGGGGGCGGTGGGGGGGCTACCGGGGCAGCTGCCCCCTGGGCACGAGTCTCCTGCCCCTCCTGGAGGGTTGCATCCCGCGCGCCCTGCGCACCCCCCTCGGCCGGGCCTGGCGGGGGCTTTGTCTCCGGCTCCTCCGACTCCAGGTCTCCCTCCACTCGTGGAAGACCTGCCTTGCCGAGTGCATGAAGCGGTGGAAGCCACGCAGGAACCGGCAGCCCTTCAACTTGAGCTGGAAGGCGTCCGGGGTGCGGGTGGGCGGCGGTGAGGGCCCCGGGCCCGCCTGCGGGGGTGCAGCCGTGTCCGGGGAGCCCGGGAGCAGCTCCCCCATGCAGTGGATGTTGTTCCTGATCCCGTGGATGTACCTGATGGCCATCCCCCAGGCCTGGACGTTGGGCATGTCCCGCTGGAACGCGTGCAGCCTGCGCAGCACCTGGCCCAGCTGGGTGTTGAGTGTCCGCAGGAAGTCCTTCCTGCTGAGCCCCTCCAGGGCCTGCTTGCTGGGGAAGACCCCGGGGCGCTCCTGGCAGCCCTGTTTCAGTCCAGACATGTCAAGGCCTTGGATGTGGACCTGGGGGGGAGGAGAACCAGGGGGTGAGTGCTGGAGCCCCCACTGTGCGCATGTGCGCGCGCACACACACACACACACACACACACACACACACGTCTGCTCTGGTCAGCCTTGACATGCTCGACCTCGTCCACCCCCTAGCTAACCTGCCCATTGTACAGATCCAGAAACTGAGGCCCAAGAGGGGAGAGGACTCCTCGGCCACTGCAGGCAGGGTCGGAGGGATGCAGGGGGCCTATTGGGGGTGACCGCACAGGCAGTGACTGTGGTGGGGGGCGTGTCCATGGGAAGGTGACCATGAGCCCAGGAGAGCAGGACTGTTTTGTTCGCTGCTGCATCTCGGGGGCCGAGGACAAGGCATGTGGGGGGCGGGGTGCAGTAAGCGTGCTGGACAGATGGAGGGTTGAAGTAGTGCGGCCGGGTTCACACCCCAGGCCCCCTGAGCTAGGGAAGCTGTACTGTCTCGGGAGTAGGCCTCGGGTGGGTGTCTGACGCGGTTCTGGAGTAACAGGGGGACTCGGTTTCCCCACCCCCGTCCCCATCCTCTCTGCGGCTCACTCCCGCCCTAAGCCCCACGTTCTCCGAGACTCAGATGCCCCCGGGGCGGGCACTCACATAGGGGTCCAGGAGCAAGCTGGTGTCCTGCAGGAGGTTCGCCTGGTTCCACAGCTGCTCGAGGAGCTTTTGGCCATCGCCCGGGCAGGCACCCATGAACACTGGGTTCAGGAACAGGAGCCTGAGGATCAGACCTGGGGCAGAAAGAGGGGGTGTCACCTGACTTGGCGAGAAAGCCATGCGGGGGCCAGCTTTCAGGGGTGGGGGAGGGCGCTCAGAGGGTGCAGCCCATCCTCCCGGCTCTGTGCCGCGGAGGGGGCATGGGCGCACCTGCTGGGGCCACCGCACCTGCCCAGCACCTGAAACAGGGGCTGCAATCCACCAAGGAGGCCATGGAGAGGAGGCAGTGGGGCCTGGAGCCGACAGGGGTGGACCAGGTGGGATTGCTCTTGGCAAGGCCTCCAGGCTAAGGGACGGGATTGCCCCAGGGCCCTGGGCCCCCTGTGACCGACCCATTTTACTGACGGGAAAACCAAGGTGCTGAAGAAGGGCTGCCCAAGTCACACAGGGCCAGCCTGTCCCCCAACCTTGAGCCTTCCTCCTCTCTCCATAGGTGGCCACCCCTGTCTGCCAGGCCCACAGGGGAGGGAGCCTGGCTGCCAGGCTGGGAGCCTGTGGGAATGTTTGGGGAGGGGGGTGGCAGGCACAGTGACCGCTCGCCCTCCTCCCCCCACTCACCAGCAGCCACGTGGTCGGAAGGGGCCTGTGGTGCAATGGCCGGAAGGCAGTGACACCACGTTCCCTTCCTAATAATCGCCCGGCCCCGGGGAAGATGCTGCTGGGGGGTGGGGGGGGACGGGCGGAGGGGCCGGGGCCTCAGGCACAGCGACCACTGGGCCCCCTCCCCGCCTCCCCGCCTCCCCAGGTGTCTGCTGAGTGCGCACGTGGGGCCAGGTGTGCGCCTGCTGTGGGTGCAGGTCTGTGTAAGGTTGAAGAGATCAGACGGGCCCCATCCACCGTGGGGCCCAGGGCTGCATGTGGGGGTTCCCGGGTTGGTGAGATTGAGGGTTCCGGATGATGTCACATCGCCCGGCGTGTGTCACCCTGTGGGTGTGGCTATGTGGCTGTGTGATTGTGTGGGCTCCAGGGCCCCTGTGCCTGGCTGACTGTGACCCTGCAAATCAAGGCGAGAAGGAGGCCCCTCGAGACGGGGTGCCCCGCTTTGCCCCTCAGCTTCTATAGCTTCCTCTCCACAGCACAACTCCCACCTCCCTCCTGCTGCCCCAGCCTCTCACCCAATCGGTCCCCTCCCCTGGCTCCCTGAGCTGTCTCTGCATTGCCTCCCTCTGGAAGCCCTCCTGGGTTACCCCTTCTCCACCCTGTGAAGATGCCGTGTTCTCAGTGGACCCCTGTCTTTGCCTGACCTCCTGCTTTTTTTTCAGTCTCAGCATCCTTCTGCCCGGGGCCCGGTCTCCCCAGCTCCCAGGGGACAGAGGGTACCCTGCTCCCCGCAGACACCCGCGGTTCACAGCAAGCAGGTGCTGGCGGGGAGGAAGGAAGTACTTACTGAGCAGCGTCCTCCTCATAGGCTGTGCCCACATGCTGGGTGTCCACGCTCCGGCCTGTGCCTGTTGGGGATGACACCTCCGGGCTGGGAGCCCTGCGGGCTGACAGCCACTTTATTGCCTGCCAGAGCGATTGGCCAACACCTCGTGAGGTGGGTGGGGAGGGGCAGGGGGGAGGGCAGGCCTTCTGGGAACATGACCCCAAAAACCAAAGTTTCCACGGGCGGCCAATGGGCGCTGGGCACCGCGGGATGCCTGCTCCTCCTCCTGTTTTCTTCGAATTCGTTCTTCGAGGTCAGCTCCACGCCCAAGGATGATGCAAAGTGCAGCCTCAGCCTTCCTGGGGTGACGGGCAGCCGGGGGTCCGTGCCACCGGCCAGGCGCCGGGCGGGGGACGGAGGGGCAGGTCGGCCGGCCGGGCCCCTTGCTGGCCTGCGGGCCGGTCTCGGCCCAGGAGCCGCGGTCTCACAGGCCACTGTGGTTTGGGGCTGAGGGGAGCAAGACATCTTCCTTTTTGGGTGCCCTTCCCGCCCTCGCGGGGCTGTTGGGACATCTGTGAGCGGAAACCCTGGGCCCCGGGCACAGAGCCAGCCCCGGGCTGGCAGCCCCGAGATTGTGGTTCAGCCCCAGGACCTGCCTCCCCCAACGGGGCTCCTGGCATCGCCTGTACCCACCGAGCGCCCCGCACCCCAGCAGCCGGGCCCCTTCCCTACAGACAGGGTCCTCCGGGGAGAAGCCGGCACTTGGTTCTTCCCAGAGAAGCGGGTCCAAGCCCGCTGACACGCTCTGTGGCCTGAGGCAAATTGCCTAACCTCTCTGGGCCTCGGGGCCCCACCTGCAAAAGAGGATTTGAAAAGCATTTGCTGGCCCACCTCTCAGGGCCGCTAGCGTCATGGACATAAAAGGCAAAGACTCTTTGAAGGAAAAAGGAAAGATGAAAGCCTAATTCCAAGTACTAGCTAGGGGGGGGGGGGGGGGAGGCAGAGGGGGGGGCGTTGTGGGGAGGGGAGTGTAGGAGAGGGGGAAGCTGTGAGCTCAGAGGGGAAACCAGCCGGGGAGGGGAGTCGCCCTGGTGACGGTTGGCACCCGGTTTCACTTTCTCTGAAAGATAGCGATCGTGGGCTGGTCCTGAGTCTCACAGACCTCTGAGATCAGAGGGAAGGGGCCCTGGAGTCGGCGCCTCCCAAGGCAACCAGCTCCCTCACCATGGGGTAAACTGAGGCCCAGGTGGGGGCAAAAGAGGCAGAGGGGCTGGCCGGGCCTCCAGGCCCTGCCTGGGAGTCCAGCACGTTGGCCAGGCCTGGGAGAAGGTCGCTCGCTGGCCCGAGGCCTCCGGAGTCTGGCAGGAAGGGGGGTGTCCGAGGCTGGGGAGCCAGGGCGGGGCCTCTGCGGGCTGCCAGGGAGGCCTGGGCTGCTCCAGCTGGGCCTCTAGAGCCTGGACGGGCAAAGCCCAGGTGCCAGGGCTGATGCGCTCCTGTCCGTCTCCACTCCTGGCACCGGTCACAGCCACCAACGCCGTGCCCACCGGCTGTCCCCTCTGCAGAGACGACCAATCAAGCCTGCATTCCTTCAACAAATGTCCCCCTGCCACCTCTGTGCCAGCCACCCCAGGTGCTGCGGCTCCACAGTCGGCACCACCAGATGCACCCCCATGCCCAGGAGGTGGCTCCTCAGCCCCACCCACTCCCTGGCACCCCAACACGGCGCTTGCTGTGCCATGCGCAATCACCCCACTGGGCCCAATCACCCCACCATGCCCGATCACCCCACCGTGCCCAATCACCCCACCATGCCCAATCACCCCACCATGCCCAATCACCCCACCGTGCCCCATCACCCCACCGTGCCCAATCACCCCACCATGCCCAATCACCCCATCGCCACCCAAAGGGCCAGTTCTGGATTCTCCTCTGAGCGTGTTGCTTCCGCTAAATTCCTCGTTTCGGTGCCCACCCCCACAAGGCTGCTTCCTGCGCCCAGGCCGCTGCTCCTTCTTCATTTCACATCCCTGCTCTCGTTTTGCAACAGCCCCTGAGGGGGAGTGGCCGGCCGGGGGGCGTTGGCTCCTTTAACGAGGAAACCGAAATTCAGGGAAGCTCGGGGCCTGGCTCCAGGGCCAGGTCTGGCGGGGCAGCTCCTGGCCCCTCTCAGCTCCTGCTGACCGGTCTCCACCCTTGGGGGACAGCCATGTGCATCCTCCTCTCCCCGTGGTCCAGGGGGGCCGACTGTCTCCGTGGCTTAAAAAGGCCTCTGAGCCCGGCTGCCGTGGCTCAGTGGTTGGTGTCGACCTGTGAACTAGCAGGTCATGGTTCCATTCCCCCTCAAGGGCACACGCCTGGGTTGCGGGCTCCATCCCCAGGAGCGGGCGTGCAGGAGGCAGCTGATCCATGATTCTCTCTCATCATTGATGTTTCTCTCATTCTCTCTCCCTTTCTGTCTGAAATCAATTAAATATATAAATATATATATCTATAATAATAAAAGCGTAATATGCTAATTAGACCAGACAGCCAAACGACCTTCCCGATGACCTTCCTGACGAAGGTGGGGCTGCAAGGACCGAGGCAAGCCATTGCGGCTGCGAGGGCCGAGCTCCTTGCACGAAATTCGTGCATTGGGCCTCTAGTATATATATGCCTCTGAGGCCCAGAGACATGACGTCACTTTGCGTGGTGACATTTCAGAGGCGGGGCATTCATTCCAGGGCTGTGCAATGTGAAAGCCCATGCTCTGAGCACGGGGCTCATGGAGGTGCCTGTGCAGGCCCCAGGGACCAGGGCTACCAAAGGCAAAAAAGGCCGATCTGTCATCTTGCTCCAGATGCCAGACCAAAATACCACAGCCCGGTGGCTGATACACTAGGAATGTATTTTCTCTCAGTCCTGGACCTGGAAGTCAGGGGTCGTCAGGTGTCAGCAAGGCCGATGGCATCCTGCAGCCTCTCTCCTGGATTTGCAGACGGCCGCCTTCTCGTTGCCGCCTCACGTGGTCCTCCCTCGGCCTGTGTGTGTGTATCTGTGTCCTCATCTCCTCTCCTTATAAGGACGACAGTCCTATTCGATGAGGGCCCATCCCATGACTCATTTTACCTCAATCGCCTCTTTCCAGGCCCCATCTCCAAGTGCATTCACATGCTGAGGCTCTGGAGACTTGGACGGAGCAACACCATCCAGCCCATCATGGCTTAAAAAAAGGGGACGTGGTTGGGGGGGGGCCACAGGAAGTCGGGACCCTGGGTGAGACGCCAGAGCTGGGTGGGAGGGGCAGCGGGGGGCAGGAGGACCCCGAGTGGCCCCCCCAGGTGAGGAGGCCCGGCTGCCCATTTGAGCGAAGCGTGAAGGGGAGATGCGTCAGCGTTTCTGGTGAGGTCAGCGCCCAGTGACGTCCCTGTCGCCAGCAGGAAGAGCTTGCAACACGGCGCAGTCAGTATAAATAGGCTCCCTGACCACAGCACCGGGCTGTCCCCTCTTCCCGGGCCACGTCAGCCAGTTCCGCGTGATTTGGAGGGGAAGAGAGGGCCGGCTGGTTCCTCAGAACTGCTGCGTCCTCGCTCCCTGGCCCGCCCGCTGCCAGGACGGAGCCTGGGGCGGCCTGGGGGACGGGCCACAGTGGCAGGCCACGCCGCCGGTCCCGAGTGGAGAGACGCTGGCCCCTGACCAGCGGGGTGGGAGTCGGAGACCAAGCCGCTGGGAGCCCCGTGTTCTTTTTAAAAATGTGTTTATTGATTTCAGAGAGGAAAGGAGAGGGAGCGAGAGAAACATCCATGATGAGAGAATCATGGATCAGCTGCCTCCTGCACGCCCCGCACTGGGGATCGAGCCCACCACCCGGGCCTGTGCCCTGACCGTGACCTCCTGGTTCACAGGTCGACGCTCAACCCCTGAGCCCTGCGCCCGGCCTGTGCCGTGTTCTCGATCCAGTCACCGCGCCTTTCTGAGCCTCCGTGTCCACTCTGTGGATGACAGCGGCACAACGTATCAAGAGACAAGCAACCCAGTTCAAAAGTGGGCCGAGGGGCCTCTCGCTTGGGCCCTCGCTTCCAAGGCGACCAGGAGAGGAAGGAGCAATGGTCATGCTGGAGAAGGCCCGTTAGCGGCACCAGCTGCGCCCGCTGCAAGCCCGAGGACAAGGCCATTAGGAACCTCGTCCTCTGAAACACAGAAGAGTCGCAGCCGTTAGGGACATTTGCAAAGCGAGTGTCTTCGCCGCCTGCGTGCTTCCCAAGCTGCGTGTGAACGTCCACGGCTGTGTGGGCTGGGCCTTCGCAGAGAGGCGGCCAGGAGTCCTTCTTGTGAGGCCTGGAAGGACCACCCCCAAAAGCTCTTGGGGGGGGATTATATTTAACAAACAAACAGAAATGGCCCGGCCAGTGTGGCTCAGTGGTTGCGGGTTGGCCTATGACCCAGGAGGTCACACGGTTTGATTCCTGGTCAGGGCAGGAGCCCAGGTTGCGGGCTCGATCCCCAGTAGAGCCCACACAGGAGGCAGCTGATCGATGATTCTCTCTCATCATTGATGTTTCTCTCCCTCTCCCTTCCTCTCTCTAAAATCAATAAAAAATATACATGTATAATTTTTTTTTAAACGGACAGAGGATTTGATTAGACATTTCTCCAAAAGAGAAAGACGAATGGCCAGCAAGTACGAGCAAAGATGGTCAAGATCACTAGCCGTCAGGGAGATGCCAATCAAAACCACAGTGAGGTACCGCTTCACACCCACGATTGGCTATAATCACAGGCAGACGGGGCAAGTGCTGGAGAGGATGGGGAGGAACCCAAGCCCCGGGGAGACAGGCTGTCAGGGCCTCACAGGGTTAAACATAGAGGTGTCAGACACCTCACTGTCTCACACCTAGACATACGCCCGAGAGAACTGAGAACGGATGTGCACACACATGCTCAGAGCAGCATTTATTCACAACAGCCCCAGCGTGGACGCAGCCCCAATGACCATCAACAGAAATGGATTTAAAAACTGCGGTCTCTCCATACAATGGAATATCGTTCAGCCATGGAGAGGAACTGCGGGCGACCCCCGAAGACATTACGCCACGTGAGCGGGGCCAGTCACAAGGGCCAGGTACTGTAGGGGCCCCTGTCGGTGAACCGTCCATAGAGACAGCCGTGGTCTCCCAGGGCTGGGGTTGGGGGGTCTGGGGATGAGGAGTGGTGGCGATGGACAGGGTTTCTTTGGGGTGACGAAATGTGTTTGAATGAGGTCGCGGCGATGGTTGCACAATCCTGCGAACACATAAAACAACAACGCTGAGTGTGCGCTTTAAGATGCCTCGTGTGGTGGTGTGGGAGCTGGGCCCCCGTTTCTTAAGATGGCGTGGCAAGCGCTCCTGACGGGACGGTCGGCGTGCTTCAGGGAGGTCGCGCTGGGGAGACCCGGGCCCTTAGTAGGCACTTTTTTGAACTCTTACCCGCCAGCCACTGGGCGGATGAAGGCTCACGTTTGCTTATGTCACAGGGTGACTGTGAGGACGGTTGGGAAAGACGTCGTTACATAAACCCCAGGGTGAGCAAGATTCTATCGGGAGGTCAGTGAGGTCACGCTGGGCTGGGGGATGCTTCGGCCTGAGAACCGCCACACAGCTCTTCTGGGACCTGGCGTGTCCGCCTGCTCCCTGTGGCTCCCCCAAATTGGATAACGGATCCCCCTTCCAAGTGTCCCAAAATCCAGGGAATTACAGCAGAGGGGGGAGAGGGGGGGGAGAGAGAGAGAGAGAGAGAGAGCGAGAGAGAGAGAGAGAACTCACTTCTGTGCCGGAACCTTCCTGTCCGCTCACCCTAGGCCAGGCCCCTCTGCAGGAAACCCTCCAGCCAAAAGGCAGGTGGGGGCCGGCACATCTCTGAAGTGAATGACCAGGGATGAGGGGCTGCCCTGCTGTCCCCTCTCTGGCTGGCCTGGAAGCCCCACTTCCCCCCCACCCCCACCTGGC